TCCTCCGCTCCAGCGTGACACGGAGCTCGAAGCTCGTGTCAAAGACATTACACGAACCTGGAAATACGAAGAACAAATCCGCTTCCACATCATCACTGCCCTCGTGCTCACGGAGACCGCGTACGCTCACCTCACCGACATCGAAGCAAAGATAAAAATCACGTTGTTCACTGCTGTTGCCACGGCCATTGACAATCCCAGAATTCTTGACAAAGTGGCATTGAGCAATGCCCACCGTAGTCTCTGCAACGGCGCCATCCATGACGAAGAGGGCATGTTGAAGGACTTCATTAGCATTCTCAGCGGAATGTGGGAATGCTACCCGCGGTTCGGGTCCAACATGATCATGGCGTCTGCTCTCCAATTCCTGAATGCATCGATGCTCGAGAATATGACCGAGGGTGCGGCGATCACCTCGCGCCCATTTATCGAGTATAGACGGCAAATGAGCGGCGTTCCTGAAGCTTACGCATGCTTTATCTGGGAGAAAGCACGATTTCCTGACGAGAGTGTGTTCCTCAAGGCTATGCCGTACGTTGATTTGAAACAGTTGGAAGAATACACATTGATATAGTATCTTTAAGGGACATTATGTCGTATATCGATTACACAAAGTGAGTTGCCCTTCAAATATGACTGGACGAAAATTCATTATGTTAAACAGCGACATCATGTCATTTTACAAAGAGGAACTGGACGGTGAAACGACAACTTACATCTACGATCGCGCTCGAGTGACAGGCAAATCGACCTTGGAGACTTTACGGGACACAGTAGACGAGACGGTCGCTGCCCACCACCGAATTTGCAGTACCCTTGGCGAGGGTGCAGCTCGGGATGCATGGGACAGCTTCGCTAACGGATACATCGGCTTTCATTTGAGCGATCCCCGATACCGCCTCCGGGACCTGCTAGACTGCGAGTACTTGTTCAATCGCGCGGAGTACTAGTCAAAGTATCTTATTTGGATTGATATCTGGGCCCTACGTTTATCTCTTCTCGTCGAGGCCCGGAGGCGACTGCGCACTTCCACCCTCCGACGCGTTTTCATAATTCACATTCCGCTGGGTTTTTACCGCTTCACGGAATGTACGTACTCGTATCGATTGGCATTAGCATAATTTTTTTGTACTTAACCTAGTCCTGTTTCCAAGTCTCGAAACACGGAGTGGTCGCGTTCAAGTAGAGGTACTTCCGATCACCAAGGAGGTTGGCGGAGTCGATATGTTACATGACAACTGGAATTCAGACACCTCCGCGAAAAACCGTTCAAACACTCGAAGGCTTGAAGTTCATAAGCGAGACCACAACATGTGCTGGGGCGTATCGAGCGCCACTCACTGCTGAGCGCTGATCCACCACTAGTGTGTATGCGATGCTATAAGTCCCGCTGTATGTGAAATTGAGGTAGCTTGGAAGATGTGAATATTTGACAGCACTGTCAGTCGTTAGAATCCTGCCGCCGACATTCCGATCGACCGGACATTAGCATTTCGGTGAGCGTTTCTCTTAAACTTTGAATTTACAGCAAACAGAATCACGACGCAATCTGCAGTAGAATCGCAAGAATGTTGAATGTCTGAAGTCATCCACAGCGTCTACGCTTTGCCTGTTTTCGCGCCACCAGTCTTCGCTCCAACCGAGGAGCACGAAATGAACTGTCATGACTTTGGATTTATCGCTACCTTGTGACACTATGTGTGTCCATCGTTTGCCAATCTAAGATGGGAGAAAATATGCCGTATTGAACTTGACTCTTCGTGAAAGATGCCCTTCATAAAAGTATATGAAGTGGGAGGAGCACATCCTGCTGCTGCCTAACCACCTTGAACTGCATCTGTGGCGATGACGTCCATAGTAAACTAGTAAGTGGTCTTTGATACTACCATCTCTGCGTGTTGCCAACGCCAGATTCACAGTTCCACCGCGGGCGATCCCAATACAGAGCCGTCTCACCCCATTTCCGCCGAACCACAGCGAGAGGCGAGTCTGTCGCCTCCTCGTTCTATGCGCCTATTACTGACAGTGCTTTGCTTTGGTTAGAGTGAGATAGCGGTGGTGGCCAGAAAATCCGTCACCTACTTTTTGCGAGAAGTCCACTATTCCTTTTCCCCGTTCCAGCGCGATCCGGAGCTCGAAGCTCGTGTCAAAGACATTACACGAACTTGGACATATGAAGAGCAAATCCGGCCTCAGATCATCACCGGCCTGGCGATCACGGAGGCCGCGTATCCTCACCTGACCATGAAAACAAAAGTAGGAGTCGCCCTATTCACTGCTTCTACTACGGCAATGGACGGTCCAGAGACACCGAATAAAGTTGCATCAAGCGGATTTCATCGCAAGCTTTGCGATGGAGCCATCTATGATGAAGGAAACATCTTCGCAGATTTCGTCACAATCTTGAGTGGAACGTGGCAATGTTACCCGCCGTTCGGGTCGAATATGATCATGGTATCTGCTCTCCAATTCATGAATGCATCGATCCTCGAGGGGCTCGGCAACGGCGCTGCAATTACCTCACGTTCCTTTGTCGAATACAGACGGTTCATAGGTGGTATGCCTGAGGCATACGCGTACTTCATTTGGGAGAAGGCTCGTTTTCCTGACGAAAGAGTTTATCTGAAGGTCCTGCCGTAAGTCATTTACATCAACCAGTCAGAAAATATATCACGCTGATTTAACCATGTAGGGATGCAGTATCTTATATCAACTTCACGAAGTAAGTCCGCTGTGAACTGACGACCGCATTATGCTCATTATGGAGACATGACCACAACAGTGACATCATGTCGTTCTACAAAGAGGTACTGGAAGGCGATACGACAAATTATATATCCGATCGCGCACGAGTGACAAGCAAATCGATCTTGGAGACTTTACAGGACACGGTGGACGAGACGGTCGCTGCTCATCACCGAATTCGCAGTATCCTTGGCGAGGGTGCAGCTCGGGATGCATGGGACAGCTTCGCTAACGGATACATCAGCTTTCATTTGGGCGATCCCCGATACCGCCTCCGAGATCTGCTAGACTGCGAGTACTTGTTCAACCACGCGGAGTACTAGTTAATGTATCTTCTTCGGACTGACATCTGGACCCTACTTATCTCTCTTCTCGCTGAGGCTCGGAGGCGACTGCACACTTCCACCTTCCGACGCGTTTGCTAGGAAGTCGGTCCCAATGTGAATGCCCGTAGACCAATGATGAACATGCTGTAACCCTGTAAAGAGTGTACTATGACTTTTTCTATCCACATTATCAAATCCTCACTTGATACGATGATACAACCTCAGTAGCTAACTTCACTTATGTACAAATCGTCTGTTACTTGATGCGCTGTCGTTTGCGGAACATGATCTGTGCCGTCTGGTCTGGTATGACTGAGGAACCGAACCACACATTTCCCGGCCGTTCTCCTCCGCCTGGGAACATGACATCGTAGTTCACAATGAAATATGCTACCACGGCCTTGAGTTCGTTTGCAGCAAAAAAGCGACCTGGACTGCGGGTGGCAAACACGCACAGTCAACCATAAAGTTCAGAAAATACTTGAAAAGGCGGCACATACCATGCATGCCTGCCGTGGCCAAATGGTATGTATTGTGGTGATGTGGTGACATACTGGTGCTTCACTTGCTCATCTTCATCGAACCGCTTATCCGAGAATCGGAAAGGATCGAAGAGATGCGGTCGGTTGTAATTCTCCTCGTCGTGATGTGTGCCTGCAGCTGCAGCCCCGCAGAGCGTTCCAGCCGGGATGAGAGTTCCGTCCGAGAGCGTGACGTCTTTCAACGCTAGTCGAATCACCGAGACTACAACGTCAACGCCCTCCGAGATTAAACCCACGTCAGTATGTTGTAGTACGAGACGCACTGCCACTGATCCCATTCAGTCGCTGGGATTCTCTCATGAAGCTGTCGAGTTTCCACATCTTGCCTATCCCGACCTTGGTCCATCCTTCCGTCTTCAAAACAGCATCAATTTCTTCCCGAAGAGGTTGAATATATTCCGGGGATGCAGCTAGATGATATAGGGCATGTGTAACACTCTGAGTTCAAGTGAGAGTTAATAACAACTAGTCACTGCTGAAGATGTGCACATACAATAGTGGAGGTATGGTTCGCCACGAAATTGGATACTAGCAGAGCTTGCACGATCAAGTCAGCTGATTTCCCCAGACGGATGGCTTCTTCCACAAGCCATGTCATCAAAACATTCTGGTGTGTCGTTGAAACATTCAAGATGGTCGGTACTTGGCTAATGTACAATGTACATACCGGCCTTTCTGCCCACTCTTTCCCATGTTCTTCGATCTGCCGCATACGGTCTTCTACGACCGGCTTCATGATCACGGAAAATTGTTTCAGAGCTCTTCGTGACCATGGTAACAATGGCCCCACAAGCCTGCATGCTTCGTCAGAAAGCGGACGCAAACCGAATTTGAATGGAACTTGCGGTTTCAATATAATAGGGACAAAACTGAGCATGAATCGTCCTTTAGCGACATCTCGCGTGAAGTTGATAACGATATCCAACAATTCACTGTTTCTGCCTGTATAGGTAAACACACCATTTGTGAATTACTCGAGTGTGGAACAATATAAACGTACAGGTTGGCATGCCAACAAATACCCGGTTACTAACACGACACACAATTCGGGCCATGAGAGGAACTGCAGAAATGGTTACCCATTCTAAGCATTCTATCAACACGTTATCACAGTGACGACAAAAGGCATGAAAGCTGACCATTTCCATGAGTCGGAATCAGTTCCCGGAAAGAAGCATCGATCTCGTCAACTATAGCAGGCAGTAACGCTGCCAGATTGCGAGTAAGAGGTCCTCGGATGATGTTTATATGAAACGGGTCTGAAACCACTTCTTCCGCAATTGTATACTTGTGTTGAACTACCTGTTCGGTGTTGTATGATCAGTCGAACACGGCGAAGCAGACATGTGTTTCTTACTTCTTCCACGGCTCCGAGGAAGGACATCTGATCGTCTGGTAGCTTCTGCAGCTCTTCATTCATTGCAGTACCGCAGAAAATAACAGCCCAGCGATCCAGCATAGAGATCCTGAATACAGAACCCTTGTACTGAGGGCATATGTAAGTATCAGCATAGACGAGGGCAAAGACCGCATACCTTATCGTACCCTTCTTGCAGCATTTCCCTCGCATGACGAGCGAATTTGAATGCTCCCAGATAGGATATGAGTGGCCAGGAGGGTCCAACTGCGGGGATAGAATACAGCTATACAGAGAGGTCAGCCAATAAGACACGGCAAAGTATCAAAACACGTACGGGATCGAGTCTTCTACGAACGTAGAACCAAGAGACTAGCAAGGCGAATAGAATATAGCCGATCACTGCATACATCTTGGGAAGCTTAGATGCTTCGCAGGGAGTAAGATCCTGAGCTTGCGAACGACAAGAGAGACTTTTATGTACATCCTATACCAGGACCCCCGGCACATCGCCTTACCGCTCGAATCCTGATGCGGACACAATTGGGGACCAAAAGTCATCTGTCTTGGATCATGGTGTGGATAGACTCGGCCAAGTTTGACAAACGTTGGATTCCTCCCGCGGACATGCAAGTTGCCTCATCGAACAAAGCAGATCCCAGTTGAGGCTGAGGATCGCATCTCGTGATGGTATTTGCCTCTGTCAGTTACCTTTGAGTACAATGGCTCTCCTTTTGAACGTTGACAAAGTGAGACACGTCCCAAATGGGAACAAAATATGCTAATTCATAAACGCCGCATCCTATTTTTCATGCTCAAATTTGAAACCGGCGAGTCTTTATGGTGCAGAGTTCTCCGTAACTGTCCGCAAGATGCGCACATAACTGACATCTAAGCAAATAATCAGAAGGTGTGGGACATACCAAGCAAGACGTTCCGTATGGCCAAATTTCTGAAGATTTGATGCGTCTCAGGAAAGCACATGGACCACAGTATGTAGCAGCTGACAGCGCCGCATCCTATGAAATGAGAATAAGAGAAGATATGGGAAATACAGCTACTGCAGAAGTTGTACCACTTCTGTTCAATTAGCAGCAGGCTTGATGACCCGCCCAGCTTACTGGAAGAGATAGGAGCAATAAGGCATCGGTGGAGATAGTGTAAAAGTGGAAGCCAAGCACCTTGATTTCCCTGGTAATTCGAATATGTGAGACAGACGATGATAATGTCATTTTTGTATCTGCAGCGAGAGCTTCCAACCACGTAGACTTGTACCAGGGTTCATTGTTGTTGTAACCCACTGTGCAGCATGCCCCATCAGGTTGTTATGAGACGCTGAACTGGCGATACCAAGATCACATCCTGATTCAAACTAAGTGATGAGGGGATTTTTTTTTTCAGCTCCTTTTATTGTCACCGAGGATCTGGCCCTATGTAGATAGAAAGGTACTGTACATACTCTATTATCTTGTGCTCGGTCGTGTCGATATTGACTGCGTGGGCAGCCTGCCTATGGGATTCTGGTTAGTAAATATAAGGCCGTACCTGGGAGACTAGGGCGGGGTCTCGCGTTTCTTCCCATGAGATGGGAGCATGGGTGGTAGCTCCTACACCGGCTGGTTTTCGGACAGGGGTCGCATGTGTCACAGTAATCTTCCTCTCTAATTGGCGTTCGCGGCGAGTGTGGCAAGTGTTGCACAGATACATTGTGCGCGTACTGTACTACTAAGGCTGCTCGATTGCGTTCGTTCATTGCTCGCTCGATTGCTGAGATACCAAATCATCAAGCTCGTGGAGATGTGTCAGTTGTCGAAGCCAGCAGGCGACCTCTCGAACACTATGTACTCATATCGATAAGTATGGCGCTCCTGCAAATCAGTGTGATTTTCCTCACCGGTGATTTTGGCTTCGTCTTCGTACTGCATATAACGAAATAATTAAGCGGTGGCTGAGCCTCAGCGTTCAACCTCCGAGTCGATCGCTCGAGAGGTATCCGGCGTGACCGGCGCCTATATTCCTGGCTAAGTGGGCTAGCACTAGTTTTTCAGTTTCGCACCAGATGATCTTCCTCTCTGCGTTCAATCGACACAAGCTCCTCAGCAAGTTTCTCTCCACCATGTCTCGAAGAGCGCATTCGCCATCCCCACCGTCGTCTCCTCGTCTCTCCAAGCGTCCAAGGCTCGAAATTGAGCCGCTAACTCCTGAAGATTACAAGAACGGAGTCGTCCTCGCTCCCATGGTCCGATCAGGCGCCTGTGCGTGAAATGAGCTCCCTTTGAACTCTGGACCCGACGCTCATCCTATGCCGTTTATGTGCAGTACCGACTCGACTTTACTCTCTGAAGCACGGGGCATCTCTTGTATGGGGGCCAGAGACCGTTGACAAGGCCATCCTGCACACACAGCGAGTCGTAGACCGTACGTTTCCCTTCGGATGATGTGACTATGCTCCTAACCTCCTTCCAGCCGTGACCGGCGTCGTCTCTTATGTCGGAAAAAGCAAGGCGATTTTCACCACACACCCTATCGAGAAACCATATCTCATCTACCAGATCGGCTCTGCAGACCCGGAGCTGGCTGTCCAGGCAGCCAAGGCCGTCGTCCAGGATGTCGCGGGTTTCGACCTCAACTGCGGCTGTCCAAAGCCATTTTCGACACACTCCGGGATGGGGGCAGCGCTTCTCACTAATCCAGATCTCCTCTGCTCCATCCTGACCGCGCTGCGAGAGGCCATGCCACCGGAGATTTCGATATCCGCGAAGATCAGGCTGCTGCCGTCCCAGGAGGAGACTCTGAAGCTGGTCGAGCGCATCGTCAACACGGGCGTGAACGCACTCACCGTACACTGTCGCACGCGGAACATGCGCAAGCGCGAGCCGGCCCTCATCGGGCGACTGCGTGAGATAGTGGACTTTGTCGAGGGGATGGGCAGGGGCATAGCTGTCCTCGAGAACGGAGACTGCGAGGGATATCACGATGCACTGCGGATACGGAAAACTACTGGTGAGTGACAGCCGAGTGACCTCTTTCAAGATTGTGGGCTGTGTTGACCGCGGCCACAGGTGCACACTCGGTTATGATCGCAACGGCTGCAGAGTCCAACCCGACCTGCTTCTCGCCGACGCCATTGACCGACCTTGAGACAACGTTCATCCCAAATTATATCCGCCTGGTCAGTGCTTCCTGGGTTTTTTTGTATAGCCCACCATTCACCATTCACCATAATAGTGCAAATATCTCAATAACCACTGGTCTTCCACTAAATTCTGTACCTCGCAATTCAAAGGCGCGCACGTCAACGCATCAAGAGCGGACCTGAAGGGAATGCGCGACGCGATCATGCATGCAAAGAGCTACGACGACATGGAGCCGCGTGTCGCGCCCTGGACCGGCGAGGAGGAGTTCAAGAAGATCGTGGAGGCCATAGAGGCGCGAGACGGCCGGCGGGGCCGCGTCCAAGTACTCACATTAACCGACGCTGCCGAGTCTGCTCAACTCTCGGCGTCGGAAACACAGTCCGACGCATCCCAGACGTCGACTCAAAGCTCTACGGGAGACGCAGCAGGTCTTGTGACGCCACCTATAGGAAAGCCTGACCCTTCTGTGATGAATGCCCCGCTTGCCCCGGCGAATGAAGCTCGAATGCCACTCCCGGCGATGCTGACGGGCGACCTTTCTACGCCGACGCCTACTCCAACTCGTGCGGTAGTTGGTGCGGCTTCGTTGGCGTAGTGGACCTAGCATTTCGTATCCTCTCCAAGCGAGCTGTATAATCATTGCATGTAGATGTATCCTACACCGACTACTATTCTCGTTATAGTTCTTCGTTAACTTGTCTTCTCGGTTTCATCTTGCAAGCGAACGGACAATTACTGCCGTAGTATTGACTTAGGGGCGACAGGACCACGACAGGACCACTCAACCTCACACGAAATGTGCAAATGAAAAATGTGATTACGAGAGTTGTTTGCAAGGCCAAAGCTGAAGTCATGAAGATCGTGATAAGGACTACCCAGAGCCACCTAAATAATGCGTGCAGATCGTGAAATATCGTGAAGCCGTCTGATAGGCTAGGAGTGGGGCATCTACAGCACGAAGAGCGCGCCGGTGAAGATGCCGCCGAGGATGGTCGCGGCGCTGACGAGCATGGGCTTCGACAGTGATAGGCTCGAGGAGCCGACAGCAGCGTTGTGCGAAGACGTCGCGCTGGGAGGACGGAATCAGGTGGTTGATGGACCCATGCGGGTGATAAGACGTACCTGACGGAGGGCACGACGAAGGTGTGTCCGGCAAAGGATGTCGTCATCGTGCTGCTAGCACCAGACGTCGCGATGGTGATGGCACCGCCGCCTACGGAGGTCACCTCAACAACTGGGACGCTGCTGATGGCTGTGGAGGGGTGGTTAGAGACACGCGACGATGTAGTCTCACGCGACTCACTTGTCACCGTAGCGAACACCTTGGTCGTCGCCGTGCCGAGCTCGGACGTCAGGGAGTCGTAGATCTGCGTGGCTGTGGGTTGATCGTGAATATCGATGTCTGAAGGTGATGAGCATTTGGTGGATTAATTACCAGATGCCTCCAAAACACCAAGGTGGTCTATGAGCGGACGGTTAGCCTCGTTCATATGCATATCTACAGCAGCTAGAACACTCACAACCAGTCTCAACACCGTGTACGGCAGAAGCAACTGCCAAAAAGATAAACGATCAAGCTCATCGCACAACGCTCTCATGCTCACCATCCGAGGTAGCAACACTCCAAGCAGACTTCACGTCATCAAGAACTGCACAGAGATCAGCACCCATAAAACACGCAACAGAACGCGCATATACTCACGTCCACGCTTAGGGATAGTGGGGGCCGCGTTGATGGCAGCAATGGGGAGAAGAGCATACACGAAAACTTTGGCCAACATCTCGTAAACGGTAGAACTAAAGAGACAGCACCAGGCTGGAGCAAAAAAAGAGCAAAGGAGGAGAGACTAGACTAGACCCGTGAAAGCAAAGGGGCGTAATCGGGCTGCCCCAGTGCGCCTCCCGGGCTTATATCCCACCTCGCTAGACCTTGGCGCTGTCCCGTCATGGCTGTCAGCGAGCTCCTCCTTCCGCGATTGTCGTGTAGCTATGGGGAGTGTTTGATCCATATCACAGCCAAGCCAGCGCGAGCGACCTGCTGCGGTTCCGTATGATCGCAGTAGTCGCCGACATCGTTCCTCCCTCCGAGGAATTCGGGTCCGAGCATGGTGGGCCCGCTGAGTCGGTGTCCTGCGGTACTGGGCGGCGCGATGCATGGTGGTCCAGCTGTGGTCGCGGGCAAGATGCACCGCTGCTGTGTCCAAACCAACAAGCTGGACGCGCCCTGGTCGCAGCGGGTCTCAGATCACACGCAAGTGATCCGCACAGCATGTGTACGCTGCGCAGCCAGAGCCCCTGCTTGACAGATTGATGGCATACTAAGACTGGCGCGGTATTATGCCATTGGTGAAATCCGTTCTGTTTTCTGGGAAATTAGGGCTGGAAATTATGCTATGGCCGAATGTTGGAACGACTTGCTCTCCTCCTCGGCTGCGCATACTAGAAGAAGCCCGGACTTGTGCGGCTTTTTGAGCTGATCGTGATAGATCCATGGGTCGTGTGCCCGATTTTCAAAGTCGAATGAACCCCCTTGAAGGCCTGGCGCTAGCCGTGGCACCGGGACCGACCTCGCCTCGTTTCGCAACTGAGCCCCACGACTCAGGACTCCTCCATCAGCCCACTGAAATGCTCACCATCTATTTCGCAACTCACCACACTGCAGCGACAGAAGAGTGATGAACAATCCACAGCTACCTGGTGGCAGTGATCGAGTCAACGTTTCAACAACCGCCAGCAGCGCCACGACAGACAGCCCAGTAGCGCCCGAATAGCTCACAAACACAATCCACAATGACCGTGCAAATGCAATGTATTAGGGACGACTAACGCGTCCAATAGCGCAGACCGTACACTAGAACGAACGTATGAGTGCTAACCGTGAGCAATCGAGAACGAAGTCGTCACATCATCATGTACTGGCTGCATTTTCCCCTCCTGTGCCCCTGCCAACCACACCCCAACTCCCTTCCTAATGCAGATTACCTCTATTAATAAAAAGATGCGTGTGTGTGTGTCAAAATGAGAGCGTCCTCCTGTAGAATCCATGGTCCGGTGCGTGAGCTGAACGATGTCCGAGACGAAACGCGAGACTGGAGTAAAGCGGCCGTGTATCGATGATCGGAGAGGTGCGTAGCAACTCGACGATGATGAGTGGGGCGGACGGGAGACATGCATGAAGACAAGAAACGAGAGATCGTGAGTTGGTCGTCAAGACGTGGAAAAGCTTGATGCAGAGCGTCGAAAGCGGGGTAAGTGGTACAAATGGGTTAACGGGGCGGTATGGCACAACATGGAAGATTATTTGGGTGTAATTGTTGTGGGCTTTGATGATGGTGTTACAATCGCACATGAAAACATGATACAGAAGCTCAATAGAGAGCCTCCAAAGGTCGTGGTATAGAATCAAGTACCCCACGCTATCAGATAGAATAGGTCAGCTATGTTGGACAAGAACAAAACAACGATGAACACGCACAGTAATCACGCGGAACACCCTAATGTCCTCAGTGATCCTGAGCTCGATGCCTCGACGGGCACAAGCAACCTTGACAGCGTTCAGCTGTGGGTGATCATGGCCGCCGTGCCAGATGTGCAGAGTGACAGCCCGAAGGCCCTCACTGCGCTTGATGGCTTTCTCAAGTGGCTGTAGAGGGGTGTCCGCGTCGATACCAAACGCGATGTGCTCGACGGAGTCCGACAAGCTCTTGAAGATGACAGGCGGCGCCCATGCGCTCTCGATCCTAAGCTCCCGAAGGGCATCGCACCTCTGCAATGCCGCCACCGCGTCGTGCCCGCCGCAACTCGGAAGAGCAAGCGACTGAAGCGAGGCACCGTGCTCGGAGATAAGATGCTCAAGCAGATCGAGTGGCGGCTCCCGTTCCATCTCCAACGTACGCAGACTTGAAGTGGAATTGTGCAGAAGCCACTTCATGAAATCAACTGAAGGCGCAGTCTGGAAGTTCATGCGGAGCTCCTCGAGTGGACAGGGAAAGGGCGCGGCGGAATTGAGAAGCTGAGGTGGCACGCCGCTGATGCTCAGCGACTTGAGCGTTGGCCAGATATCCAGAAGCTGGCACAATGACGAGCTGTTGTCAGACCAGTTGCTGAAGTGAAGCGACTGTATGCTGGGGCCCGTGCGAAGGAGCGCAAGCGTGCGCTCATCGAACGACGGAGCAGGACGCTTCATACGCTCAGAATCAGGGGAGCCCACGACATCAAATCCAGGACCACCCTCGCCGAAGAGGGCGATGCGCAGCTCGAGGAGGTTGGGGCAGAAAGTAACTGCGCGGGCGAACGAACGTTGGGACAAACGGTAGGGTTGATTGTGGTCAAGAGTGAGACGCATGTGCATGACGGAGTCCCCGAGCATACGACCCCGAGGAGAAGAGCGATCAACGGCATGCTGGAAGGCGATGTATGCCGTCTGGTTGTCGAGGGTGACATGACGGAACAGGAGTTTTTGGGCGATGAAAGACCAGTCACGGCAGACCAAGGCGCAGCTGGCGAAGAGCTTGACATTCGACTCGGGCTCGTCGTCGTCGTAAGCGGTCTCGAGGATGTTCATAACGATTTCGATGGGGATGTGAGGTTCCTTCGTGATTCGACGCATCACCGCGGGGTTACGAGGCGGGTAGAGAGTCGTGAGATCAACGATGGGATCGGTTTCAGTGGCCTGAACAAGTTAGAGTTAGCTTGGTACCGTGTTGTGAGACAACTAGACGCACCGAGGCCCGGGGAGACTGGTAGAGGAAGCTGAAGAAACCCATGGCGAGCTGGACGACGGTTGGGGGTGGTGGCGGGGATGATGCTGGGGCCAGCTACGGCGGGGAGGGGGAGGAGGAACGACAAAAGGCGGACGGCGAGGCATTCTTTTATATGTGTGCCGGCAGCGGTGCGCGAGGAGAGGACGAGAGTCTTTTGGCGCGCGCCTCGGATCTGTTTCACGCCCCGTCGGCAACGACCGGCTCCCTGCTGTTGCCTAATCCGTGACTCACCGCCAGCGTCGGATGGGGATGCGAAGGCTTTCTTTTGTTCGTCTTACGGCTCCACCCATCGTGTTTCCACACAAAAGAGGCATTCTGCTCTCACTTTGACTCCTCCCTCCTCCTCCTTTGGGCAGAAACACAGCCGCCCCGCGGTGCACGTCCGGTTGCGACGGGCGACTCAGACAGACTGTGCCAGTGAGCGCGCCGCTCGGTGAGAAAATCATCCGTTCAATTTGGCAATTCGTCTCTACTGCAACATCCCAATCAGGACGACGCATACCGCCTCCATTCTCCAGCCCGTCTTCGCTCGACGTCTCGCCGTCACAACTGCTGGTGAAGCGAGTCGGAACGGCTCGAGAAGGTGGTGGTGCGCACTCGTTCCGCGTGGGATGACCACCGGGTCTTGTTCTCTCTCCCTTGAGAAATGATAGCCGTATGTCAATGTCAGCCGCCCTCCGGCCCGATGATGCATACAATAAGCAGTCCGTCGCCCGTCTCGTCGGCTTGACAATAGCGGATGGTACCCTGACGCCCCGGTAGTGCGGAACACGCCGCTTGTCGTAATCGCCTCCGTGACTGGAGCGTTCGGCTGCCTCCTCGGGGGTCGCACAAACGCGCTCCGTCCTTGCCTTGCCCAAGATGAGTTCCTCACCCGGCACTCCAAATACTCTCGCAGCGCATTCTCGGGTCTACGGCGCAAGATCCAGCTTCGTTTACCACGACTAGTGCCTTTCCGCCACATCTCGTCTGGGGCCGACTGGAAGTATCTCCACCTTCGCCGGATGCACCCTGAGCTGCGGTCTTTTCTGGAACCCTCCACAAACCAATAGCTGGAACCTGTGGCGCAGGCGAAAGGCGCCATGGCCTCATATCCATCCAATAGTACGCCCTATCCCATTTCATCCGCACGCTGCACCAGTGCACTCGCCTTCCTCAGGCGTTCTGACGCGGCGATATAGTGCCGCCCATTGCGTCCTCGAGGTGAGCATGCGCACCTTGTCGTCCAATAGGGGCTGCACAGATGACCTTGGTTTGAAAATCCAATGTGTTATTACGGCCTGGGCTTCCTCGCCCATCGTGCCCAATGGCGAGTGGCTGACAATGGGCGCTACCGATTCGCCGGCGTCGGACGCAGTGGCGAGCCGCATGAATGCGCGTCTCGGATGCAGAACATTGAGTTTTACGTTTTCGAGCCCTAGGTTCGACGCTTCGACGCTTCTATGGCTGCCTCTGCTCCAGGCTTGAACGGCTTGCCGCCGGAGATGCCTCTTAGGAGCTGAGGTTCCTCAGGGACTACATTCCAAGTGTCACAGCGATTGGGTCGCCAGGTACGCCGGGAGCACGCACCTTCCATGCGGATGCGCGTGGCATGCATGCGAGGAGCGCCGTGTTCCTTGCAGCACCTAAATCTCATGCGTTCATCTCCATCATTCATCGCTGCCACCTCAATCCCCCATTTTTATGGCCATGAGGCCGATAGTCTTTGTATAGAAAGCACATGGAACTGCTCAAACGGCATCGGTAAGCGCAGGTACATTCTGCTGTCAGCTGTCAATTGCCGTACAAAATATATGCGTGCAGCCTTTTCAGAATTTGGACGTTGGAGAAATCCACATATGGTGCTTGAAATTTGATACATGTAATCACAACCGCGATCACTGGTGTAGGTGTTATTCCGTGTTATTTATAGCATCTCCTTCGAAGAAGATAGGAGGTGTCTGGTCAGGATCAACCTCTCTGATGCGTGCGTGATCGCGGATTTGGAAGGCTGCGTTGTCTTCCTAATTCTCTTTTCAGCTCTGGTCTCAATTATCACTGAGAGCTCAGCTAGGGAGAGCTGTTGAATTAATGTTATAAATTTAATGTATGAAACCCGGCCTTGGGTCCATATGTCTGGTGTCCGAGAACGGCAACGGACTCTGGGTGGCCTACTCGATTCGCCGCCGGAGTACGTTCTTGAGATCTTACTCGGATCATACGAAACAAATATATATATTCACCAATGACGACGTGATCTAGCGAACGATGCCGCAGGTGTTCATGGCGCTGGACGCTTTCACGGATGTCAAGGTGCTATCTGGAATAGTACTATGCTTTCTGAGTACCATACCCAGATAGCATCTTGACATTCGTGCAGACCGCGGATCTCGTACGTGACGATGCTGCAGCGGACGCGGTAGACTCGTGAAACGAATCCGCTAGTCCCGATCCTTCCTCCACCGCGGCCGGATGCGAAGTACACGGATCTCGTGCGGATCTCTACTAGTACTGCAGTTGCCTAGGCCATCGTGCGGTATCAGCGGCCTGAAAGGCGGGCACGCCGGGGGGTTGCCCATATGTACTAGATCATCACTGCGAGTCTGCGACACGGCGCGTTGCTAGGCGGTCACCTGGCGTTCCTCCAGTGACTGCGGCGAACATTGGTGATGCGATTGGCGGGTACTCCAAATTATTCTTGGACCATTGGCTGTAGCATCATGGTGTCTGACGATGGTGGACTAGAGGAGAGTAGCTAAGGGCAACTGGTATCTCTTGATGAAAAGCTCTTGTAACAGCCTCGTAGGCTGATGAGTCGTTTCAAGACGAAAGGCAGCAAATCATGATGTCATCAGTAGCCTCATAGGTACAATCAATTCGACATCACGTACAGCATGTTTACCTGCTCTGGAAACTACCTGATCATTTTTGCCCGAGCCACGAAATAGATCCTTCATGAATCACCGTATTCACCATTCACCGTTTCAGACCATGCAGAGATGAGTCTGCAGCACGCGCACATACTTGCGCCTTCAGCTTTGCACTTATAACTAACGGCAGAAGTCTGGACAATTGAAAACGGTAATTGTGTGAGTGCTACTGTATCTATACGACACTTTGGCTGAGTATCCGAGATTCGAATACCATTACTCGCAGCAGCTTGAATGAGAAAGATCGGAATGGAAAACGACACAGATCGATACGAGTCATTGGGTATTCTAGGACCGCTTAATTACTGTCGACGTCACATACACTGCGCGTAGAAACTTCACTGGTCGCGGGAGCTTGCAGGTCGCGGGAGCTTACGTGTCTTGAAGGGTAGCCATGACATATGAATAGTTTCGTCCGTTTCTGTGTCATGATCGTTCACTAACCTTCTATCACTAGAACAACTTTCAGCTTCAGGTTCCACAACACGCAGCGGAATACGACGATGAAATGTAGGAGGCCCTCCAAAACTGGAAAGCGCTGCTTCTCAGAGCTCACCAAAGCACTCTGATAAGGGAAGATGTACGTACTAGGTAAGTTTAGCTACGGCTGTTGAACATGCAGGTGAGGAGTGCATATAGGCGAAGTTCACTAGCGGTGAAGCTTATTTTCATAGTAGTCAAGGACGAAATACTACACGCGGAAACTCTTTTACCTCAGCGCACCTACATAATATTGGTGTGCAGATTACGCCAGCGTGACAAAGGCCTCGTGGAACTCTGCATCCGGTCAGGATGTCCATGCGTATCAATCATTGAAATTGCTTCCGCCAAGGGGGAGCTGATGCGCTCGTACTCACCTATCAAGTCATAAGTGCCAGGATGGGAAGTCTATGCTGACGGCAGTGCGGTTTTCCCATTTTGATGTAGGGGCATCGATGTCTACGTCACGCGTCGCGTAGCTCTCTCCCAATGTAGACATGCACTTGCTGTATGATATTAATATCAACCTCCGGAATTCGACGTCAGAAGGCGTCCGTGAGAGTGAACATATGGCAGAGACCATCTCAACTAAAACTTAAGACGTACCGCCGCTTCTACACCGCAAGCTCTCAGACTAAACCGTTATAGCGTGGCGTACGTATGAGGAAGGATTATGAGGCAGAAAAGGGGAAATGACTCGTTGCGTGAGCGCGTGCCAGTGGAAGGCTGCTAGCCTATACAAAATACTTAACTTTGATATTGAAAAGATACGCAGCGGAGGATCACATCACTATCAGATGAACTATTGTCGTCCCTGGAGTAAGCATACTAAACAACAAAACGTCCAGTCGCCGGAAACGAGGAACGTCAGACCCAATACGGCTCAAGGAGATGTGGTCTGCTTACTCGTTCTAGGCCTATCTATAAGGGATACTGCCGTGATTGCGCCCTATTCTAATCCAAAGACTTGAATCCGACCAAGTCCACGGAGTTCACAGTAATATTCGCATTTTACAGATGCGACGCAGGTCTAGGCATCTCAATGCTATCGATTGATGTCAGCTGCGACTGGAAACCAGAGGTCATCCGGATAAGCGCGGAATGGGCGCACCGATGTATTGCAAAGAGTGGAGGATGGAGGGGTGCCACATGATGTTGTCTCTAACCGGGACAAAATCCGACAGGCTCGGCCTTGAACTCAGACCACGACTCGCAACTATTCTTCGCGGATGCTGTGAACTTGGTACGCTGATCTATCTGTGCTCCTGCTGAGGAGCATTTTGAAGGCGGATGTTTACTGATAACGAACGACTCGGGATCAATCGAATTAAAATGACCGGGCAGAAGTGCATGGAAATGATGTCACACGGGGCGAGCTGAAGCCTGAGGCCTGACGTTGACAAATGTCTAACTCGGCTGGAAATAAAATACTGAGTAATTCCGTACACACAGAAGAAAGGTATGAAATACATCCTAACACTACACTTCCATTCCATCTATCCGGGCTAAGTTGCCTGACGCTCTTTGCTTACGGCACTAGAATCTGCTCAGTCCACTCCCCATCGTTCCTGATGAATCTAGTCCTCTGGTTGGGCTTCACCCCGAGCTGCACCCAGTCTACGTCCACGGGGTCCACGAGCACAAGTGCAAAAGTTTCGCAACGCCTGCTCTTGATTGCGTTTATCTTCCTCGGTTTCGGCCTCTCCCAGCTTCGGCACTGTCTGCGGCCACTTCTTCGCGTCTTCGTAGGACTCCATAACACTCCCTGGCGGAGGTCGGCACCAGCTCGCCTTCATATGGGCACTCATGTTGTCAAACACCTCCAGCCGCTGTTTCTCCCAATCGAATCTTTGGGCATCCATCTTATCGAAGGCCAGGGAAGACGTCCACAACGAGGGGGCGTGTTGCGGGTCAGCATGGGGAGAAGAGACGATACGCACAGGGCCGAGAAGACGAAATTGATCACTGGAACCTGCCATCCACCAGCAAAGCTCAGCCTGAGGATGGGCGCGTAGTTGCACAACCTTTGGGGTACGGATATCAGTGGTGGTGAGGATGATAGGTAGCTGTGGGAAGCCGGCTGGTTGCAGGATATCACGATGCACGAGGGTACGGGCGTGAGCCGTTGCGCCAGAGTCTGTAGTCGCGAGTTGGTATACTGCGGAAACCATTCAACGCGCGTGAGCTTGGCGCAAAACGCGTATGGCTCGCACGAGGTAGACATGGTTCGTACTCACGATTCTGCCCCTGGTTCTCAGGTAAGCTCAAGGCCTTGGAGAGAGCAGATCTCCATCGAGGCATGGACGCCATGGCTGACTGGAAGAGAAGCCAATAGAGACCAATGATTGGTCGTTGTGGATAAGTTGTTACTATGCATCGGCAAAGTCCGGCCGTACTCGCCTGCGCCGCTGGGCTTTGAGTTTTCAGTCAACAACGTTCACTATACGTTCCCACTTCCTCTCCCACCGAATGGGCCGCTCGTTGGATACGGTTGAGAAGAACGTGAGATGTCGGTGTTATCAGCGACTACTGCATTCGTCACCGGGATAGATACGCGGGACACGTTCCTTGGTCAGCGTCGCTGTGTTATCTGTGGGATGAACGATGGATCAACTCTTCAGCATTGTCACCTTTCAAGCGATTAAGAGGAGGTGCTTGTAGGCTGCCCTGAGGCTGACCTGAGACATAGTGGTTCGGCCTGAAGGCCCGTAAGTGGATCCCTTCACAGGCCAAACATCTTCCTCGACATGAACCGCGTGCTAGCATACTCATGTGCTCCAACCATCGTCTCGCTTTTGATGCCTATAAGTTCTTCATACGTTTCTATCCCGATGTGAGTCTGTGTGCATATCTACATGAATTCTGGTTTGATCGTACTCGGGAACAGACTCGCAAGTTTGTTTTTGTCAACTTTTCCGATAGCTCTAATTATCAACAGTTCCATGGTAAAGCAATTGCTCTTGACATTAGGGATCGCCACGCACCCTTCCCTTCTCTATTCCTCATCCATGAGATGCGCGTCCGGGGATTCTATCCCTTCCAACCCACCGCTCCGGCCGTGCCCAATGATATCGCTTGGCAAGACTGGGTCACGTCGGAAGGCGTGTTCGACAATGACACAGGTACTTTCAAACGTGATCGCCCGCTAGACGATGTATCTAGGCAACCACGGCTGTCGTTTCAGCCTACGATGACGAGCGCTGATGATGCTCCTTCCGGCTCTGGTGGATGTACGCTAGCGTTGAACGCAGATGTCGTTTCTGATATCCTTTCCGCGACACATGCGATGCCGTCGTGGAGGGCATGTCAGATGGACGGCACGAGCTGGAGTGGGACGGCAGAGGAAAACATACAGCAGTATGTTTCCACTATTACCCCTGTAGGCCGAACTGGAAGTGGGGCTCTTAATCATTCTTGACGAGCTATGGGCCATAATGTATTTAACGCAGTGTATAATATAATCCCGTCCGCAAATCATGGAGTGTGCCGTAAAATCTTCATTCGACAAAAATCATCGCCGCATCATCTGTCACTCAGTGCGAGGATGGCGACGGCTATGTGCGTATATATTCTGAGCTCATCATTCATCTTGACTTGCTCGACACCCTGCAACTAATTTTATGTACAGGAATTGAAGTTTGATTCCATCATGAACCTTGTGACTCATTGACTCCATTGGACTAGATTATCGAGACAGGATCGAGTCGTCAACCCACCGAGATGCCATAGTGGTATGGTTAAAATCCTAGCCTCGGCATGCTTGGCACTTCAATTCGTCACTCAGACGGATGGGACAGAGTAACGAGACGATACAATCGCTCAACCATATAAGAATGGGGCATAAGTGACTACGATACATGAGATTACTCGCCGTCTAGAATCTCTCGAAGACGATAGCGCGGACTGCACGTGTGGAAGTTGACAAATCCCTGCACAAATTGCTCCCAAGCATCCCTTGCAGCGCCTTTGCCTAAAATTTCACGCACCCGCTGAGCCGCAGCTACAGCTTCGTAAGCCACATCCTGGAGCGTATCTGGGACAGATTTTTCCGAAACGTGAGCTCTACCATGAATGTAGTTGTCCACATCTCCGTTCAACTCTTCCTTGTAGAACGACAGGACGTCACTGGTTCCAATCATGAGTTCATAAGCGCAATGGTAGTGAGAAATGGCTCGTACTTCGTGTACTTGAAAAAGGTCATGGCCTCCCTAAGTCCGGATACCCCAATGTCAAGAGCGGTCAAAATCAGCTTAGAGATACACGTACGGAATTGCCTGAACATAGATCGTGACATCCGGAAAACGATCTTTCTCCCAAATGAACAATACGAAGGTTTCCGGCATGCTCGCAAGGTCCCGTTGATATTCCACGAACAAGCGCGATCGCAAGTTCATAGCATCGCTTCGCGCGTTCATTTCTAGAAACGTCCCATTGACGTATCTCAAAGTGTCTGCCATTATAGCGCAGGCAGTATAGGGGAGAAATTGATCCCACATGTCGTCTAGAAGCCCCTTTAAAGTTCGCAAGTGTCCTGAGGTGTCATTGGCAGATAGTTGACAAAGCCGCCGAGGAAAGTCTTCGGCACCCATGGACTCGTAGATATGTGGCTCGTCCATGCTTATGATGAGCGCGTTGAAGACCGCAATCGTAACTTTGGTCTCGAAATTGCGTACGTGGCTGTATGCGGTCTCTGCCAAAGTGATCCCGGCGATGATGTAAGGACACAGAGTCGCCTCATTGTCCCACCTGCTGGTGATATTTTTCACCCTAGATCTCAGTTCGGCGTCATGGACGTGTATAGGGGTTGAAACTCCCAGAGTGGTCAGAAATTCTTTGATGGCGGTTCTTGTGACTGCGGAAGTTGATACATTGAGGTTAGAATCTGCTAATATGTTATAGCCGCGAAAGCCAACCACGAACTTACGGGGTCCATAATGTGCCCAGCTTCAAGGCACCCCGAAATGAACTGAGAAAAATCGAGTGTCCTGGATTCACTGTCACCCTCTCGTAATGTCGGAACTCTGTGCAGACTTACCAGGTGAATGATGTCGCACGCACACAATATCAGAAAGACGCTGAAACGGACTATCTACTGAGGACTTTCAAAGCGAGTCAGGGCCCTATTAGGCCATGTTCGTAAAGTTACAGCTGCATGCGCTATACACTGCAGTACTCACACTGTGTCACAGAAGTGACCAAACAAAACGCGGACGTGCTTGAAACTCAATCGAAACCCAGTTAAAACTCAAGACCCAGCGGCGTGGCAGCGGCGAGTATGGCTGGACTTTGCCGATAACAACTTACCCACGACGACCAATCATCGACCTCTCTTCAAGTTCCAGTCAACCATGGCGTCCGCGCCTCTATGAAGATCTGCCTTCTTCAAGGCCCTGAGTTTACCCGAGAACCAGGGACAGAATCGTGAGTACGAACCATGTCTACCCCGTGCGAGCCTTGTGCGAGCTGTACGCGTTTTGCGCCAAGCTCACGCGCGTTGAATAATCTTTGCAGTATATCAATTTGCAATTGCGTCCAATGTCTTCGTTTCAACACTAGACAAATAGCGATAGCGCACGTACAGTATCTTTTTGTCTACATAGGGCTAGGCCTTAGAGGATAAGAAAAGGAGCAAAAAAACTTGCGACCACAGACTCTGGTGCAATGGCTCAAGTCCGCATCCTCGTGCACCATAATATCTCGCAACCAGCCGGCTTCCCACAGCTATCTACTATGCTTGGAGCGTACGTCGCATGCGTTTGTAAGTTTTGTGCCAGTTGATTGATTTCACCGTCAGAAGGAAATTCATGCATGCATTCTATACTCTGTCCTTGTACGCGCAAGTGAATGAGCGGTTCGGCATGGCTATTGAAGCACTAGAGGAAAAAGTACATGGTCTCGATATGGGCTTTAACGCGTCGACGGAGAAGTGCTCAAGTGGTACGATAAGACCACGTTTTTCGCATTTCTGATGCATTGCTCCAGCTCTTCCATCACAGAAACTCAGCTATGCCTTTCTCGTATATTGTCCCTGAACGTCTTTCGCCATGGGTCAGGGATACACGAAGACGATCATGGGAATGCTTGATTGAATCCGTCAAGTAAAGTTTCGCTTCTTGGTCCACAGACCGTGCGCGGAGTGGTGAAATACGCCAACTTTGCTGCTCGCATCGCATGCTCAAGACGTGGGCTTGAGTAAACATATAAATATCAGCCATCTAGCCTGCCAACACATCAGTCCCTCTTTCGCAGTTTAATGTACGTATATGAAGCATGTTTACTCGCATTGATCTTTCTTACGGGACGCAAACATGAGATCTATAGAGACGGACCCTCAGCACACGATGGCTGACGGAGACAAGGTAACGTACCGGCGATCTCTGTATGGCTCATTGCAACATACTGACTTCCAAACCTCTCGAAGGAATCAACCTTGGCGATTTCTGAGACGATTATCAATTTAAATGCGCTTGGCTACACCCCGGTTCACAAGAGGGATTTGGACCTCGAGCTTCGGATCAAGGAGATGACTCAATTTTGAAAGCACGAGCAAGAACTACGCCCTTCCATCATCGTGTCTATTATCCTTACTGAAACGGCTTATAATCATGTCCGCGACTTTGATACTAGCACTATCTACACAGCTCTTATGGTCGCCATCGACGACCCCGTGCTGTTCGCCAACGTCGATTTAGAAGAATTCCCCTGCCAATTTTTTCATAATCGGTTTCAGGATGACTCGGGACTGTTTCATAACCTGAAGCTAGCTGTGGAGGAGATGTGGAAGCAGTTCCTTCCTTTCGCAGCCGGCATCATCGCGAGCGCCACTCTCGTATACATGAATGGGCGGATTCTTGAAACTGCAGAAGCCGGGGAAGTGGATATATGATCACGTTCATTCATCGAATATCGTCGGATTCTTACCGGGCTTGCGGATGCATATGCGTGCTTCATTTGGGAAAGAGGACAATTCCCTTCTATCAGTGCCTATGTGAAGGCGATTCCGTAGGCACATCAGGCTGGCGTTACAATGCCCATACTTATTATTCACTCAGTGATGCAGCAGCATACATCAATTATGCAAAGTGAGTAAGCAGGACTATTTACAATACGAGGGAGGGGCTGATAGGCTTACAATTCGAAAGTCATATCCTATCTTTCTATAAAGAAGAGCTAAGCGGAAACACCACGGATTACATCCACGGCCGGGTGCGCATCACGGGAAAGACTATCCCAGAGACTCTCTAAGATATGACTAACGAGACTGTGGCCATTGTGCAAAGAGTAAGCGCAATGCTCGGAGACGGAGCTGCTAGGGAGGCATGGGAGCAATTCGTGCATGGGTACATCAGCTTTCATATGTGCAATCCACGTTACCATCTCCAAGAGGTGCTGGGCGAAGAGTACCTCATCGATATGACGACATACTGAGTATATACCGAAATATATGCTGAGCCTGTATCCCGCAAGTGTTTCGGCCCAGTGAGAATCGACATGAAATAAAACGAGAAACTGTGTCATTCAATGAGAAAAACTGAGATAAACTGAATTGGCATGAATTACATAATTCAGCTTTCTTCGTGCGTTCTCAACGCGATTCATTGAGTGACCCAGTTTCTCGATTTAATTCATGTCACTTTTCACTGGGGTTTCGGCACGAGGCACATCGCTTGTGAGAGCGACAATCTGTTAGGCTCGTACCCAGCCGTTCCGACTTTTGGACTCCGCTGCGAAAGCAGCTCGTCACCGTTTTCGAGCTCTGATTTCCTTTTTCAGATGCGAAGTCCGACTAGCATGCGAGTCTAATAATCTTTTATCCTTGCTTGGAACGAACAACGGGCAAGATGATACACCATCCGACGTCTGTGAGAGGTGGATCGCGACTACATGGGGATTTCGTGGGAAAGCGCTCCAAATTGCTGTGCACCGCTACTCCATCAAAGAAGAACATATAATTTCATATGCATACCGGACGCACTCAAGAATCTATTTCCATCAGTATTCTGGTGGTACAATTAAACCAAGCTGGAAGCAGTTTCGAGTCATGAATATGCAGCCACCATCTCTCACTACACATTGGATGGGAAATTATTATACATTGGCCACTCAATGGATCCAAAGGCACATGAACGAAATTTAATGAATGTATGGGCGTACATACATAATTCTTGCCCTGCGTTTGTGATTTTCTCATAGTCTTTCAATAGCCCATGCCTTGTGATCCCGGAGTGTCCCCGGAAGCGATGGCTAAATTGTACGCGAGCGCATTGGTGAGCGCACTTTTGTCTGTCATGACGTTTACCTAGGAAACAGATGGGATATAGATGATCATGCACAAAGGGTTCAGACAATCGCACCATGTCAAAGCCTTCTTCAGCCCTTTTCGCTGCTTGGGCGCCCGTGGTGCAGAACATGGCACTAGGTTAATAACCGGTAAGCTAACATCAAAGGTGTTCGCTCATATTGTCTTACCATTTCTTGCTATGCGCATGCGCCTTGCGCAGAATCTCGTGTATCATTTTCTCTACCTCAGGGTGGGGGTCCGGAGATGGAGGGGGATAGCCGTGGGCGAGCGACAAGTCGTATGGCCCAATGAAGACACCATCTACGCGTCAAGTCGGATCGAGTACATTCAACATAACCTATGACCGAGACCCACCCACGCCGTCGACGGCCAGAATATCATCGAGGTTCTGCATGGCCTCACGAGTTTCAATTTGTACGATCACCAGTACTCCGTCGTTGGCGGTGGCAAGATATTCGTCTGAGGACACGCCCCAGATGGATTCTGTGAAGGGGCTGCCAAAGCCTCGAATGCCCTTGGGAGGGAAACGCGCCGCGCTAACGATGGACGTAGCCTGAGCGGCCGTCGAGACCTGGAGGACATCCACCATCTCATCGGTGTCAAAAACACAACGTCAGGAGCGATGGGCGCACCATGGGAACCACGACTCCCCGAGCACCAGCGTCGAGCGCGTACTTGATCTGCCAACTCGCGCTGCCGTCCGCAGACGCGCCTGTGGCAGGGATGCGCACGATGGTTGTGGGTGCGGACGCGCCGAGGCTCGCCACGGCCTGGATGGACTCGTGGACGCCGGGCTGGAGGGACGTTAGGCCATGCTCACAGTCAATTGTGATCCAGGAGAGATGCGGCGAGGAAGAGGCCACCATCCGCGCGTTTAGGGCGCCAGGAAGCATTACCCATGCACCGAACGCTGGTTTGGACGCACGTAAAGCGTTGATCAGGGATCTAGAGGCCATGGTGGACACGATGGCGTTGAGCGGGCCACTCTAGCGCGCCAAGTATTTAAAGCAGGGGCCAGGACGGCCTCGTGCACAACTCGGCGCGACGCGAAGTCGAGAATTGAAAGAGTGTTCGAGGCGCAAAAGAGATGCTATGGCAGGTGGACTCTGTACTGTGAGAACTCCGTCCGGAATCCCGCGTAGGTGCGAGTGACCATTTGCCCTGTAAAGCTGACCCCGTAAGGAGCAGACTAGTTCTATCCAGCCCCACGAAGCTGTCCTGGTGACTTGACCTCTACGGGATGGGCTCGCCGGGTCGTGAGCTGAGATTCACCAGCACGTCAGAGGACATAAGCAAGGTTCGGTATGACCGCTGCATGAATTCTTTCGCGTATACTTATAGGCGGATGACGTATGGTGTATATGGAACGATGGCCACGAAACAATGGCCGTCGTCGTCTAGATGTACTGTTCACTTTACAGGACGATGTCACATCCCGGAGCACTCATGTGTACAAACCTGGCCAGACCATACTGTGTGGCGTGGCCATCTCAAAAGGGAATAGAGCGGGCTCCATAAAGTTTTTACTCATGATATGTAGATCCCAAGCATATTGCGCATATCGGTCAGCCCAACAACTGTCGACGCACGTTCACACGTACTAGTGGCTATCCAGCGGCAATCAACATCCAGGCATTCGCACTCCATGCTGGGACGTGGATGCCGAAACCTGGACGATTCGAAAGTATGATAGAATTTCTGGACCTCTTGTCGGTACATGAATGCGCATGCCGGGGGTACGCGTAAGCGCATCCAGAATCTCTTGGAATATTTTGATAGAATTGATACTTAAGTCAGAGAAATAGAGGGGAAGCGCGAACTCACCCTCAGCATACACCTGCCGGAGTGAACATGGCATCAAAACCTCGCTGGCGAAGTGGGCTCGAAAACGCAATGGCGTTGCCAGAAAATAAAGGACAAATGCGTTTGTACTCTCCCGTTATTTCACCTCGCTGTCCACTCACCCCTCCAAACAGAGTATCAGCTCGCAACTGTGGATACCAGTGGCAGGCCTCATGTGCGCACAGTGGGCTTTTCTAGCATCATAGAACCCGCCGAGCATCCGCACCTTCCCGTCCTCATCGGGATCACCGATGTCCGCACGCCCAAGGTGACAGACATGCGCGCAAATCCGTATGTCGAACTTTGCTGGTTCCTGACGGGATCCAAGGATCAATTCCGCATTTCCGGGCCCGTGCGCATCATCCCGTCGCCCCATGTCGAGAGCGCGGCTCAGGGGGAGTCAACGCTCGCGCTGGACAAGCTGAGCGAGCAGGGATTCGACTGGGAGAAGAAACGTGTAGCGGCGTTTGACAGCTTGCCCCCGTTCATGCGGGCATTGTGGTGCAAACCCCCGCAGGGCAGCACTATCGGCTCGTACGAGGTAGCAAACGAGTGGCTCAAGACGCTGTCAAAGAGTAACCAGCTGGAGAGCGAGGAAGATAAGCAGAACTTTGAGCTGGCATTGCGAAATTTTGCCCTTCTCGTGATCGACCCAATCCATGTAGACTGGGTGGAGGCTGCTGCGAGTCCACAGAGGAGAACCAAGTTTATGAGGAATGGGGAGGATTGGAGTGAGGAGTTCGTCGTGCCGTAGAGCTCGAAAATAGTTCATTTTTGAATCGTTCACATTTGCGAGCCCGTTGAGACATGAGGTTAAGTATGTGCCAGAAATGATTAATGAAATTAATGAACCCGCACAATCAAATAATTCCGGAGGGAGCATGCTCGCAGAAGTCGTGGCGAGAGGAAAGACGAGGGCAGCTTGCTGCGCAAGGCTGAGCGCTCCTGATGTGGCCACGACGTGCATCATCATCGACAATCATCCTCATCGTCTGCTGCCAGACTACTAGGGAAGTTCAAAGTTGACGCAGCTGGGCTCGCAGGAAGTTCTGCGCCGCAGATGCACTTTTGGGCGCTAGAGAAAATGCGAGTTT